CCGTTAAAATGAAACTAGTGACTGGAGTCCAGAGCAGAGCGTGAGGGCAGCGGGCGCTGGCGGGCCTCCTGGCAGCCGGCGGGAGCGCCGGACCGAGCTAACTGAACTCTCCAACCAACGGGCCCCACGCCCGAGGCTGCAGCAGCTTGGGTCGGAGCCCGAACCAGAGGAGCCCGAGTCCGGCCCCTGAGGGGATCGCGCTCTGCAGACCAGTGGGGACCCCGAAACTTGAATGCACTCCCCAGCCCCCTTTTTATGCCTTCCTTTGTCACTTCTCCACCTTGCTCCCAGCGCGTCCTTTTTTTTCTTCTTCTTCTTTTCTTTCGTCTTCATTTACCGAAGGACACAAAAGTGGCTTCTTCCGCGGGAAGATTTGGAGGCGGTGGGAGCTCTCCTCTTGGAAGAGCGACTGTGTAGAAGGGATTTTTGGGGGAGCCGCTTGTGAACACCTTTGCCTTCCGGCCCCCCTCCGCCCAGCCTCTTTGCACCTCCCGGGGAGCAGAGCCCGTCGATTGAAAGTTCGGGGGCATTTTGCTGGGTTCGGCAGAGGAGAGAGGTGGAGGACCTCGTCCTCGTACCGGTAGTTGCCTGGACTTAATACCGGCCATTGGAAACCCTGAAGTACATTTCCGGGTGGGACTTTTACAAATATATATATATTTTGAAGTATCAGATTATAAAAAAAATATATGCTTTCTATATATTTCTTGACGACCTGCTCCTGACAGCGCGATGTACAATACGGTGTGGAGTATGGACCGCGATGACGCAGACTGGAGGGAGGTGATGATGCCCTATTCGACAGAACTGATATTTTATATTGAAATGGATCCTCCAGGTACTTGGGAGAAACAAAGAATTTTGTGATGGGTCTGATGTGTGTTTCACAAGATCTCGGTGGTGTGTGCAGGGCAGGATTATTGCTGGGTGCGCTAGCTTTGGGATGCGGGGCAGGTTTTGCAGTTTGAGCTGCAGTAGAACTGCTGCTGGTTTACACGGTCAAAGTTTGCAGTTAGGACCCTGATCCTATTGTCCTGCGAGGGTGGGGGTGGGGGTCGGAGTGGGAGTGGGAGGGGAGACCGACCTTTTTTGTTTTTTTAATTTTTCTTTTTTTTACTTTTTTTGCCTTTGCGTGTCGTTCTGGTTTTTGTCCCCCCCCCCCCCCCCTCCCCCCCCCCC